ACCCAATAACAGAGTGCTTGCTATCCACTAGACCGCCTGACCAAACAGGTTCGACAAAATTTCGGTTACTAGGTTCGAGTCTCACTGTAAACACCATCACTCAAACGGCTGCAGGTATATCCAGTTAACGAGTCCCTTATTGGCCTTAATGACTGTTTCTTTTAACCACCAGTAGACCCATTTTCATTCAATGAAGAAATGTATAAATAAAGTGAACTGTTAGTCAGTTTATTCTTTTATAGGGATTGACGTAAACTTAGAATGAAAATAGTCAAAAAAGCCGTAGTCCACAGCGACATTCACTGTAACTTCACTACAACAGAGTAACAGTCGTAAGCGAAATTTAACTATAGCATTAAACAGATGAAAAACTGTGTTACTATGACGATGATCAAGAAATAAATAAAACACATAAACTTTGTCAAAGTTACTGGAGCAGTTTTATGTTATCCGTTGGCGGGCTACTTAAATCACCAGCTTAATTAAATTTTCTATTCATCGAAGTGCATCTTCTTTACTCTGTATCAAGTTGTTTCAATCTTCTAATTACCCAAGTGAATTGTAACCTATACCTAGGTAAAATTACAATTAAGTTTCTTCAAGTATTGGTTTTTGCAGGGATTTAGTTTGACTGGTTAGAGCATTTCATCATGAGCTGACATCAGTTAGAGAACTAGTGGAAAACCTGCAAGGAGTACTGGAGTGACTGGCCGTATTCAGACAGTGACCTGAGGTTTTAGTGGGAAGCCATGACCAGTACGGTGCAGCAGGTTGAAGGTGAGGCAGTAACTCATCGAAGAAGACATTGCGAAATGGTCGCGCTATGTCGTGAATTGGCTGGCAGAAGTCAGAATTCATGGACTGGCCGTTGGGTCGGGTCCCAGTGGCTCAATGGTCAACCAACTCGACTTGTAAGCAGAAGGTCCTGAGTTCGAGCCCCTGGTGGTGGGTGCGTACTGCTGAAGGATCCCAAACTAGGCTAATGGAACAGCTTTCCAGTACTCCCTGCAGGTTTTCCAATGGTTCTCTAATCGATGTCAGCTCATGATGAAATCCCCCAACCAATCCAAATAAGTCTCTATCTACTGTCAGGAATTCTGCGAAGGAAACGAAGAAAGAACATACTGGAACAAAATTTGGATAGAAATATATCACTTCAGAAGATACACTATCAATTTGTATACTATCTGAAGATTCTGCACAAGGCATAAACATCTTGCAGTGAATCGAACTGAAAATTGTGTATGGCGTATAAACGCGTTTTCCAGAATAAAGATATCACTGTTATGATTATTGTATGTACTTTGTTAGAATTAACTAATTTGATGTCAGTTCGTTCATAAGGAAATACACACACACATACACTGTTAGGACGAAAACCTACTCGTTGTGGTCTGAACGCAGGAAACCGATCTATAGCTGACAAAACTTTCTTGAGAAATGCATAGTCATAAAACGCCCTAAAGACAGCAATATATACATATGGTTGAAATCGATAAGTGTTGTGACTTCGTGAGATTAAATTTACGACTCTTCAGTCGTATCTTTCGAAATCCATTGGTCTAAAGAGAACCCAATCGAGCAGAACCCTGATGGTATATGGACTGTTTTTCCAACCAATCTTTTGATCTAAAACCTACTGGGCTTCAGGCAAGTCAAATGTGACGAGCAACAATATTTTACTATCATCTACTTCTGTCAGTGGTACGTCTGCGAGATGTGGCCGTTTCTTAGTATTTACTCTAATAGACCTTCTTAGCCTCCGCAATGAAAGGTCTTTCACAACAGTTGCCTGGTCAACGGTTATAAATTCATTACCATATAATGAATGGATATCAAAGCCTTTGTTGAATGTACTTGTCACCTTGCTCCAACTAACCGTAATGATGGTAGTTTTTTCCCCCTCCGATGACAATATTAGGAGTTGTAGGGTATCTGCCTTAAGCAGAGTAGTGTCTGAACAGTTATCTGAAAATGCGTTCACCCAATCGTACAGGTATTAAGCCCAGATATACACACTTTCTCTCAACGACTTCCTTTACCCACGACTAATTTCCGGCATTTGTTCATTTGATGCACTAGAGTACTTTTCAACTTATTCAGAAGTCAGTGATGGCAGTCTTTGCAGCCTTCAGAACCATACAAACTACTAGCCTTACATTCTGAAGACCAGTGGCTTTTCGTGAAACAGAAGAAACAAAGTTTCATCTGCTTAGCCTCTGACCACCTTTCATTCACAGAAAGTGTCACAAATTCCGAAAACATCTAGTGTTCATATGACGTCATCCAAACACCGCACAAAGCTTCCTGTCTATTTCAGCAAACACATTAATTCCAACAGGCGTCAGCTGTTGTGTAGAACAGGCCACCTTAGTACTTTTCTGTCGATTACTTTTAGTCAGTTTTTCAAATCTGCTCAGTAAAATACTTGTACTAAGAGCAGGCACAAACTGTGTGAACTCATAAAACGTCAGTGTTCATGGCCGTTCTCTGTCACGTCTTCAACTGTTTGCACCCATTTCATCTGTAACGCAGGAGGCGGTTTTTTTCACTGTCGACTCCGGAGTACTCAGGTAGTTTACATCTGTAGAGTAATTTCATCTGCTACTCAAGAGGTATGGAGCAGTTCTCCATTTTGATAGTGAGTCTTGACACGGCTTTAACATCATTATATCCTATCTCCGAGTCATCCATTAAATCCTCAAGCAACGACCTGCTTAATTCATAAGTTCTTAACGTCAATATGTCAAGAGTTCTTCTGCAAACCAACGACGATGGAAGCATAATGCATTCTTCGAAAGCCTACCCGGCCTTACCTTTACAACAATGCAAAACGCTAAGTAGCTAAAAAGACAAATCCGTGGGCTTCCTACGACGAAGTCGTAGCAAACAGTGTCACGACAGTTAACTGGTGATTGTCATATAATGTCAAGAATTAACACAAGATGAACAGTATGACAAATAAAATAAACCCCGAAAAAAACAACAACAAATACTGCATATATTACTGTGTATTTAAGAGGCTTAAAATCTTCAAACTAACAAAAACAACATGCTGTCCAATGATTCCTACTGTAGCTTCTTCAACCGTCTCCAAATCATGTGCCAAATGTGCGAAAACAACTATACTCTTGTAGAGTTACATTCTTCTCAGTGTATTATCAATCTCAGTTATTTGTCATCAACATCAAACAGGCATATGAAACTGCTGATTCACAATGAAACAAGCCAAAAATGAACGAAAAACTGAGCCAATTATAATTATTACTACTTGTGCTCCTACAAATGACCTAGTATGGCCGAGGGTAGACTGAGTAGACTTCAGTCTTCCTATCGAAATGCTCTTATCTAGTCACACGTTCATAAAACCACTACCACCTAAATCCCACTGACTAGCTTCATACGGTCAACATGTTCGTCATAAAAGTGATATGACGAATCCGAATAGCTAGCACTTCTAACTGAACTACTGTTGTTAGACATACCTGATCTACCAAGCTACCTACCTGTCTGTCTGTTTCCGACATAGAACTTTGCACCGACGTGCAGCAGTTCAAGTCACCACACCTCCATGTAGCAAACAAAGCAAAAGAAGAAAGTAGGAGAAATGCATAATATCGACAGTAAACAGAGGTGTGAGACAAAGGAATAGTAATAACGAAGAACAAAACAGTTTCATTGGAAATCATAAGTCACAAGGAGTGGATGCATCTGCACCAGCCATTGAGAACGATTTTGAGCCATGTCACCAATTGTTTCCAACCATTGGTTTTTACCGTCCCGAGGACCCCAACCAGGAAAGAAGTCTACACCTTCCTATGTGGCCTAGACTAACTGTTGTAGATTTCATTGACTGGTGCCATGTTTTCGTTTGACCACCGCTAGCTCTTTTCCAGCCTGACCCTATATCAGCTAACATTGCCCATTGTCGAGGAAGGCGATGACTAGGCATGCATGCGTAACACATGTCCTGACCATCTCAGTCGATGTAATTTCACAGTCTCGTCGATTGATTTCCCCTCCTTACCTAGCACTCGACCGATGCCTAACCTCAATATTGCTCACCTTATTATACCACTTCACATGGGAGATAGAACGCAGACACCTATGATCAAAGACAGATAGCCAGGCTTTTCATGTCTTCCGCTCTCAATGGCCAGGTCTCACAGCCATAAAGGAGGACGGAGCGGACTGATGAGCAGTACACACGCCCTTTGGTCGATAGTCGGATATCACGTCTACGCCAGAGACGGCTTAATTTGGCATATGCGAAACTAGCCCTCTGTATTCGTGCTGAGATTTCGTCAGAGATCAACCCGTTGGCACTGGCTGATGGTACTTCCCAAGTAAGTGAAGCGGTCAACGTGCTCTACCACTTCACTTCCTATTTCTAATCTAGGGGTCGGTGTAGTCCAATCCTGCAACATCATCTTACATTTTACAGGGGTGAATCGCATGCCGAACATACGAAGATTGCTGCTCAAGGTGTTCAGGAGATTCTGCATTTTGTCAGCGTCTTCACCTCACCTAGAAGGACTATATCATCTGCATATTCTAAGTCAACGAGGTTATTCCCTCCCTGAGTCTCTGAAGTCAGTTAGGGTTAAGTCCATTAGTACGTCTATGATGAAATTGAATAGAAATGGGGATAATGGGCATCCTTGACGGACGCCACTAGTCGTCACCACTTCAGATGACAACTCGCCATAAGCCCTCACCTGGCTGATGGCATGAGTACGAGTAGAGTGCCTTAATCAGTGCAATGTATTTTTTCGGCATTCCTTTTATAGCCAAGCATCGCTACCTACCTAAGCAGAGCTGGAAAACCTTGATGCCACACTCCAAAGGAATCTGTTTCGATCACTCACTACAAACCACAGGAACACACCTCCGGTTGCCTATTCCACTGACTTGTGGATCAGACTTCGGTCTTTGAGTTCCCCTGAATTTACCAAGTTGAGTGTTTTTTTACAGTATATCAATAAATAAATATAAATAAATTTTTACTACGTGTATAGTTTGTATTCAAAGCAGAAAACAAAGTCACATAATTAATAGAAAGTCAAAAGAAGAAAAAAATAAATAAATAAATAAAATCACAACTGGAATACAAACTTTACACACATTTTGTAGCAAAAATGATGATCATGCTGATGAGAAATTAGAGTAACGCTTATAAAAAACAGTAGAAAAGATAGTCAGGAATGTGTTTTCCAATTAAGACACAACTTATGAGTTCATATTCATTTTATATATATATAGAAAATAACCAAAAATAACCAAATAGTGTATGTCAACATATGCATATAAAGAATTCAATACTACTCATGATATGTGAGTAGTGATCATCGATACATACACACACACAAGCACACGGAAGAAATGTAAAAAATATTAACAAATAAATAATGAAATAATTACAAATCAGTAGAAAAAACAGAGAGAGGTATCACATACACAAGAAAAGATGATCTGTCTGTCAGATAAATATAGGAGGCACTATATATATATATGTATATAAGATGGAGGAGTTCATCATGAGCTGACATCAGACAGAGAACCACTGGAAACCACCTACGAGCTTGCCTTGCAACCCGAAAGGTCCTCGGCTCGAACCTGGCAGCGGAGTGGGCACGTGCTGCTGAAGAGCGTCAAACTAAGCTGACGGAACAGCTAGCTGGCTATCCAGTACTCCCTGCAGGTTTTCCAATGGTTCTCTAACTACTGATGTCAGCTCATGATGAACTCTTGCATCCAATCAACCAAGACACCATGTGATCAATAATTAATTAATCAAGCTGCTAGGCACACATACATTAATCATGATTAGTGTGTATATTGCACCACTTGCATTGGCAAAATTTTAGTAATCATAATTAACAATCGTTTTCCTTTTGAAGTAAGTTAAAAATGAAAAAAATACAAATAGATTATAAGGTTGGGGTTGGAGGAGATTCTTCTTCTCAAATACACACAAAAGGATTAAATTCAAAGACTTGAGATATTTTGGCTAACATGATAGAAGTACACAAAAGGTATAAAGTAGTGAAAATAATTAGTGTTGAAAAATAAAAAATAGCAATAACAAGCACACCACCACCACCACGATCAACAGTTGAGGAGCCTGAGAGGGATCACAGACACGCACGAGCGCGCGCACACGTCCACATACATCCAAGAGGAAGGAAGACGCAGGATGAAAGGTTATTATCACTTCTATTGTTAGTATCACCACTAGTACTACTACTACTACTAATAGTAATAATAGTACTATTTCAGTAGTACTTTTATTTATTTATTTATTTAATTGACGATAATAATCAGCTAACACTTTCCATGCACTAGGCGCCATAAATCCATCCGGTGGATTTAATCCATCCCGAGCTAATGTTCGCATTTTAGTACCAGATATGAAAATGAAATCGCTAGCGCGTTTTGCATCGAAAAATGTCATCTTGCCAATTGACTTGTCATAGGCTGCAACACGAAATGGAATAATCTTTAAACCGGATAGTCCTGGTGCCATTGATAATACCTAGGAAAGAAAGAAATCAATGGGAGAGAGAGAGATGTTTTGGGAAAAAACAACTAATGACTTAATTATTTTCCCTTCCATTCACTTACATCTATTATCCTGTTGGTAAATAAACGAAGTTTCAAGCTCTGAGCTTTAAATTTAATTGAATTTTAGATATCCCCATCGATTGATTGGACCGAAGTGCTCGGTCTCAAGTTGACATGTCGTCATCTTGTGGCTCTCGTGGCCCAAGTGGTCTAGTGGATAAAGCTTTGGCGTTTGAAACTATAGGCACTGGGTTCGAGCCTCAGTGGTGGGAATATCATCACTCACTCACTGACTGGGGAATGCAGGTACATCCAGCAGACTAGGGAGTCCCAAATAGGACAAAATGCGCGTTATCCTGGATTACTCCACTGCTAGTCACCATCCACACCAATTAAATACTGAGCTTTAAAGTTTGAATAATAGTGGTACGGGGTTGATAGTCTCACTCCTAACCTTTCCCCTTTACTGGGCTTACCTATCACAGAAGTCAGTTTTAGCGGTGCGTCGACTGTGGATCGCACTGTTGATCACATGACCAGCTGTTGAATATTCTCTACCAGTGAACTGACGATGCACTCTCTCTCTCTCTCTCAATGCAATTACTACATTCCATTGACAAATACACAAATAAGAAGATTTAAACCCCAAAAACCATTTCAGATAACCTCACAATCGATCTTCATCTGGCCCCCACGATTGTTCGTAAGCTTTCTTCTCCTCTCTCCTTTCACTCACGAAGCGACGCAAAACTCATCGTTTCCCAACCGGACCCCACTCGACGGTCGGCACGGCGCATGATGTCATCCGATGGTTTCCCCAGCTTCTGTTCGAGCTATCTCCATTTTCTTCTGCATATTCGTTGAGTAGTTGGTCCTTGGTTGTGTGTTGTTCCCAGAGTCTTTTGTTGCTAATCCATTCTGACCAGCTACCTCATATCTTCAATATGCAGAGATAGCGAAGGCATTTGTTGATAAAAGTCTGCAGTCTACATAATTCCACAATAATTAATTTATGGTATATATCACACAGTGAGTCTGATTTCCCACAAACTGGAAGATATGCAAGCGAAAAGCAACAAGTTGGCAGAAGAAGCATCCAGAGAAGATAGGACTTCAGGTGAACATAGAGAAGACAGAGGTGATGAAGATTCCTGGGCAACACCACCAACAGCAACAACAACAACAGACAACAATCAGCATAAATGGAAGGAACCTGAAAGAAACAACATCTTTTACCTACCTGGGAAGCATCGTTTCAACTACAGGCGCACGGAACTGACGAGGATATCAAAGCAAGAATCGGAAAAGCAAGACAAGCTTTCACTACTCACGTCAAGTCTGTGTGGAGGTCTACAACACTCAGCATCAAAAATAAAATCCGGATTTTCAACTCCAATGTGAAGTCAGTCAGCGCTACTGTACGGATCAGAGACTTGCACTGCGCATCATAAAGAGCATCTCAAACAAACTACAGACCTTCATTATCAGTTGTCTTTGCTCAATACTCAAGATCAGATGGCCGGCCAGAAAAGATCAGCAACAGAGATCTCTGGGAGCGACGCAACCCAACAGGAACCGATTGTGAAACAAATAGGCAGGAAGAAATGGGGATGGAATGGCCATGCTCTGAGAAAACAAAACATCAAGTGACATCACTAGACAAACCATTGCTCGAGTGGAACCCGAAAGGGAAGCGGCGAGTTGGTCGTCAGTGCGAGGGTGACTTGGAGGAGGTCATGTGAAGAGGAGATGAAAACGTGTGGGCAGACTTGGAGCCAGGTGAAGACTCTAGCAGAGAACCGAACGCAATGGAGACGCACGGCTGAAGCCCTATGTTCCTCTAGGAATCAAAGGAAATAATAATAATAAATAATATTTCACACAGTGAGACAGTAGTATAATTGCCTGCATGATGTTTCTAACACAATGTACCATTTATAATCATTCACATCAATTCTAACTACACTACTTCCAAACCAAATTTTCATAGTACCTATTCTTACTTTCTACTTAATATTATAATAATAATAATAATAATAATAATTTGCTTTATTCCAGAAACAGTACTAGTGGTACAGTGTGGAATTTTCAGCACATATCTACAATATTTGCATCTAATTTTACCGACATTTAAAATAAGTATTAAACAAATAAAAAAATAAACCTGAAGACACCAACAGCAAAAACAAAAAAAACAGGATAAACACAAAATAATTATGAATGCGAAAAAATACCAAAGTCTACCAAGGTCTAATGCAGTGTTTGTGGTGGTAGTGTGAGTAATCCTGAATAATACAAAATTTTTTTTTTGAGGTGGTGACTATGGCATTCATAAACAATGATTGTCAGTTTAATATTGCCGAAAAGTATAGAAAATAAGAGAAACAACTACAAAACTAATAATTACATGATGGTTAATGACACGACAATTTTGTAATACTCATAGTGCTGATATAGTCGGAACCAGTGGATACACAATAGAAGGAATATAGTAAAGTACAACGGTAGTAGAACTTTCCGGATGTCTGGAACAGGTGCTGAATCATTCCTGTTATACCTTTTGCTCAGTTGCTTCAAAAAGTAAAGCTTTAGGCATCAATCTCTCCTCTAATCTGCTACGTTAGATTTTAAGACTGTCACCTTGCCCCATCCTATTGTATAACTGCATAAAGCGCTACAATCGAGGTTTCTTCTATATTTCTTAGCTTATTAGGGTCTACTAGTCTAGATTCCACTAAGTTTTTATTCTCTGCTAGCTTAATTAACCCTGGTCTACTACTAATTCAACCACAGACGTGTATATAGCTCGGTAACAGAACATCTGTCCTGAACTCAGAACATTCAGTACGAATTGAAAAGTTCTTTAAAGTCATATACAAAACACGACCTAACCTCTCAAAGGGAATGAGATTGAGGGCATGAATCTGGGTTCCGCTAAGGCACTAGAGATCCAATATTCCAAGCCTACGCTATGCATGCAAAAGAAACACATTTAACCTTTGTCTCTACCATGACCACTGTAGACACTCAATTCTCTCAATAGTGCTAATCTTATTAACTTTCTGATCCAAACTTCCTGTCTATTTGGTTATTACTTCATTTATAATCCTTAATCACACAAAAAATCAATCCTCTCAGTAATTACGATCATACTACGTCTTTATCCGATATAATGCGTGATTTGACTAATGTATTTGACCTCACAAATCTCCGTTATAAGCACTACAATCAGAGAACAATATTACGCTAAACAGAAATAGTAATTCAAGAAACTAATTGGAGAATTTCATCATGAGCTGACATCGGTTACAGAACCATTGGAAAACCAACAAGGAGTACTGGACAGACGTTTCGTCGGCCTAGTTTGGGGCGCTTCAGCAGTACGCACCCACTCAGACTCGAACCCAAGTCCATCTAGTTACAAGGAGAGCTCGTAAACCATTAGGCCACCGGGACCCGCTCCAACGGCTAACCCATGAATTCCAACTTCTGCCAATTCAAGACATAGAGCGACTAATGTCTTCGGCGAGCATTTGTCCTCATGCTCGACTTGCTGTACCCTACTGGTCACGGCTTTCCACTAGAAACCCAGATAACTGTCTGAATAAAGCCAGTCGCTAGTGAGCATCAAGAAATCCACTTCTGTGGGTACAACGCAACCCACTACCATTCTTCATCTTTTTTCAAAACAACAATCTTTCCACACAAACTTCACTTTTCCAGGAGCTATGACTAGCTGAAATCAGTTAGAGAACCATTAGAAAACTAGAAAGTTGAGTACTGGACACCTGTTTCGCTCTAGTTTGAGACTCTTTGACAGTATGCATCCACCGGGGTTCAAACGTAAGCCCTTCCGGTTACGAAGCGAGCTCTAATCGCCTTTCGGTGATTTCTTGACAAATATAATCTACTGTTTCCATAAGCGGTACATTTTAGTAAATAGTGATGATGCATCCATGGATAAAATGCGTTTATATGTCACATTAGTCTCGGATATTTTGGAAATAAAGTCGAAGACATCACTAATTCTATGTTGCACGACTTCTCTGTGCAAAAAACCCAGAATCTTCACTAACCACCTCGCTGTTCCGTGAAATGGGGAGTTATACATATCTAAAACAGGGCGAAGAGGAAGACCCGGTTTGTGCACCTTGGGTAGACCGTAAAGACGTGCAGTATTGGTACACACATTCACAGGGCAATACACGCACTTCCTTAGTTACGTGCCCATTAAATATAAAAGGAATCTTGTTAAATGTCTTGCGAGCAGAGCAAGAAAGATATGTACGGATGACCTCTTACAAAAGGAATTTGAATATATTCACGATTCCTTGACGGAGACGGGCTATCCGAGTAGTTTTATAAAGAAACATATGAAAACATTGGAGAGAAAACCTGAGACTATTATTGCACATAAAAAACCTCTATTTATTAAGTTACAATTTAATGGTGACTTATCAAGTGAGATTCTATTCCAGAGACTTTCAAGGAGTATCCGAAGAACATTTTACGCAGCACACCTATGTTTGTCATTCTCTAGCCGACGAATGATTGCGACGCAAACGAAGGATAAGCTTGATAGTTTTACCACATCTATGTGCATTTATCAATTCAACTGCACCTGAGGTGACAGTTATACTGGGCGTACTTCTAGACAGCTTAGCCAACGTGTTAGTGAACATCTCCCATCGTGGTTTGGCAAAGGACAGACAAAAACAATTCGCAGCTCAATTTTGTCACATTCAGTTGATAGTGGTCATATAGTGGAGAAAACGAGAGCTTTCAAAGTAATTTATCGTATCCCACCGAATCTTTCCAATAGAATTCGTTTTCGTCTACTTCTCACACACAGCTAAGGCGATAGGCATTCGAACTATTAAACCTAAACTATGCATTCAAAAGAAGTTCGTACAGCCTTTATCCCTCCCTTGGCCTATTAAGACATAACTAACTAATGACTTCTACACCACCCCTTCTTTATATTTTCAACTCCTTTCTTATCATCATCCCTTAATCTTATCACATCTTCATTATAAACGTGTTTCATTTCCTTCCCTTACAATCTGACATTACTTCATCGGTTCATTTGTTTGTACTAACCTTTATCGACTACTACGTCTACCTGAACAGTTGTTTGTTTAATCATGCTGTTTTTTTCATTATTCGTGTTATCACAGATTGCCTCACTTTTTCATCCTTATTATTGATAAGACCATTTTTATTATTACTATTATTATTATTATTATCATTACTACTATTATGACTATTTGCACAAGCTATATTCACCATCTTATTACCCTATAGACAAAACACCATGATTGGTTTATATTTGAAATTTTTCTTTGTAAACTTATGCATATTAGAGTTAAGCCTGATGAAATCTAATTGAAAACAATATTGTTCGCTTAAATTTGTTATATATATATATATATATATATATATATAGCGCAACCGCCTAATTTGTTTTGTTATTTCTAATTATTTCTTTGGATTCTTTCCAGTATTAACCATTTACTTATCACTGAAATCATATTGGGTGAAGCCTTAAACCACCCGTAGAGTACACCAATAAATATGGAGATTTGTGTTTCAGGTGGATGGAATTGGTATATAGTTGTATTCTCTGAGCTACATGGCTTAGTTGCGAAGCTATCATTGTCCTTCTAGACAATGTCTTCAGTGCATACTTCAATATTTAGTGAGTTTTTTAGGATTCTCTACTAATTTATCAGCTATCTTTCTTGTTAACCCTGAAAGAGAATAGTCATTTCTGGAGAACCCTAAAAGCTCTCTTCAAATCGAAATATGTGATGATAAGGTTGTATAGAAGGAAATTGGCAACTTCAAAACGGAACTATCCAGCTTAGAGAACACAGCCACACCAATATACTAATAAGTGCGAAACCCTGTCGACTGCACTCCTCCCCACAGCTTACTTTACTTACTTTACTTCGGCTATCTCCTACGGGAGGATGGGCCAGCTTCATGAACATCTCGAATCATGGTGAGAGTCGTTTGTGAGAGAGTTCATGAAGTTTCATGGGAATTTGGTACGAGTGATGTCCCCAGAATCGCTCGGCCTTTTGTTTGAGAGTGCTGCTCTAGCCTTTACACAACCAAGTGTGACCTACAAGGCAGTAGGAGTGGAGTACGGAGTCCACTATCCATTGGCAGCCGGTGACCGGAGTTCGGTTCATACGCCTTTTTGAATGGGGCCAGACATCCAGGACATCCAACAAGCCCTTTGTCCACACGTCTGCCGGTGAGCTCCAGTGAGCTTCATACGCCAGTCGTTGGAGGTTTGGAATCAGGGTTTAGCCATCTCCCCTAGACTGTCATCCAATGGACAGTCAACCCGGTGAGGAGCGCCGGGCATCCGCTTTCGCCCTCTCACTTTGGTTAAGAGACACCTCCGCCACGTGAAGGCAGTGAGTTGGACTTCCTCAGGAGAGGCTATGTAAGACGCCCGGTCATATGGGAGCATTTCAAGAGGTGTGCGGAGGGTTGGCCAACCCGCAGCGCAAGGCACCCACCCCCGACCATCCTGAGGCTTTGGAGGCCACAGCTCTACCCTATAGACTAGTAACTTCGTTCAACCAGTTCAATAGTAAGTAGTAAACTGTACAAACCACTGATACGAAATAAATAGTGCTTTAGCCCACAGTACCCTTGTTTCGAAAGTTATGATAATGGTGTTCGTCTCGAACGGAAATGTACAACCGTACTGTAGAATTACATGTCAGGTACAAGCATTCCTTTGGAGATGATGAAATGATTCTGGATTGGGTATATATATATATATACTTCGCTTTGCCTGAATACAGCAAGTTATAATGCTTAAAGCATTTGATTACCTACTGTGTAGTGATTGGTTCTAATTTATTCATTTATTTTAAAACGGTAGTATTAGGTCCCCTTCATGCAACGAGCTAAACAAACAATGTGACACGTCTACTTGAGCAGTTTTGCTTGTTTCTTCCTGGTTACTCGTAGTTTGTAAGTCCTGTGTCAGAAAGACTGCGTATTTTGAGTTACCTCCTTCGTTAACAAACATAGTGGCTAAAGTCGGACTGGCTTAGAAAAGGTCAGGAGTAGTCAGTCAGGCTATAGCACCGATCTAACAGATTATTGGTCGTTGATCTGAGTCATTCAGAGAAAGTTAGGCTGCCTGCATGACATTCCTTCGATTTTAACAGATAGTGGTTTGACGTCGAGAACTGAAGCACTTCTATGCAAAGTTCCACGCTGATCTATTGGTCAGTCATTTGAGAAATCTTGTTTAATTACGCATGTTTTTTTAAAAGTGGTCTGCTTGCCTAGCAGAAAAAGTGCCATGAAACTTGATTTTGCTTTGTGCAATGAAAAAATAAAAAACTCTTTTAATAATTCACGTATTATTCATCTTACTTTAAGTTACTTGCAGTCGACTAACATGCTACCCCAAACTACATTTCATAGATTTCATGAAAAACGGTTATTTCTTGTTTCTCCACACATAATATTAAAGTAGTGAATAAATTATCTGAAATCCTGTCAATTTGTCACTTGATTAGTAGTGTGTGATTAGTAGTGCGTCGGTGGCACAGCGGTTAGGACTCTTACCGACCATGCACATGGTTCGGAGTTCGACCCCCTGCCGACGCACACTTGATATCTATGGTCGGCCTGCGAAATTTGGGCTACCGATATCACATGCTGAAAATTTCATACCTGTACCAAAAAATACGGTGTGGAATCAAGCTGTAATCGAAAAAAAAATTTTAAAAATAAGGAACACTTCACTACCTAACTTCCAGACAATGACAACTTCAGTATCACCACCCTCTTGTAAAGAATAATACAATACAATAAAAAAGCCAACTACTCCACTAAGTCTTCTTTAAAAAAAAAGTACAATTGTAAACCTACCTTGGCCCCATGTGTTGGATCATATAAATCAATACCTGATCCATCAGGATGAGGTAAACCGGCTGGATCTCTTCCAACTATATAAAACTGTGCACCAGCTAACAATCGTGTACGAGCATGCCATTGAACTTCACGTGGTCCAGCATACAGCATTGGTGATGGGAATATTGCCAATAAAGTTGTCTGTCGATCAAGAACACCTTCATCTAGACAGGCTTCATGTTGTGCTATACGTACATTGAGTGGTACATCATCCAGTTTTGTCCAACCACCAAGAGGATGTAATAATAGGACTGGATTATGATAACCATATTTTTCTAATAATTGTTGTCTAGTTTGTGTCATTAATAATGCATGACCATTGTGTACAGGATTTCTCAATTGAAAGGCAAAGACACAATCAGCCTTAAAGATTAAAAAAAAAAAATAAATTGAACGAGAAACAAAAGTAACATGGATAAGCTAAATGGCTTTCTGTCAGAAATCAACCAGTGGTCCAAGGAAAACGGTCTTACCTTAAACCCCTCCAAATGCCAAACAGTCAATTTCACCTTTAGGCATAAATCCGACCTAAACAAACTGGTTAGCTCTCACGAGGTGTGCAACAAAGATGGTAGTGAAATAGAAACCAAGTCGGAAATTAAATATCTTAGCATCATTTTATCTGCTGATCTTTCCTGATCGTCTCATATCTTGACGATTTCTAAGAAAATATTCCGTCTCACCTTCTACATCAAGAAGTTAAGACATTCTGGAAAAACCCAACCCTTACTCCTACAATTCGCTAACTCTCGCATTCTGCCTATTATTCCCTATTGCTCCCCCTTACTTTTTCCAGGGCTACTGAAGAAAGACTATAACATATTACGCAGGATGTTAAGGGTTGTCAGCAAGGTAAGCAACGTGCCACTTAACCAGCTTGTTAATATTCTGGTCAACAGACAGGCATTTGGACTCATGTGAAAAATGGGGCAAATCCATTTTATCTAACTCACACCACCCTCTTCATTCACAAACCCCCTCCCCTCGCATCTCATCAGGCAAAACCAGAAGCCTATATAGAAAACTATATGCTCGCACCAGCAAGTACAAAAACTCAACCATACCCTACTTAGCTCGTGTTCTGTGCGATAAAGAAAGTATTAGCCGTGACACCTATAATTCATTTAATAGTCAGTAATACAACTGGATCTCGTCTTTCCAACTCAGATCATTTATAGGTACAAAGTTTTCTTTCTTTTCCTTTTCTCTCTCTCTTTTTTCCGTTATGTGCTGCTTTGTTTCTTTCTCTCGATTATGCCAGTAAATATGACAGCTCCTACTTTTCTAACACCTTCAAACACTGTTCAACTTTACCTTTGCTACCGACATGCTAATATGTTGTTGTAATAATGAACTGAGATTTCCTTAATCTATGTAGAATTCGATTTATTGATAATGTACTAACTGGATGCAATACTGCAGTAAAAATGCTGAGAATTCCATCCTGTATCACAAGTACTGTTTTGGAATAAAGCAAATTATTATTATTAGTATTATTATTATTATTCGATGCATACAGGAGATTACAAAGAGTGGATACATTTACGTCGTTGACAATGAATTTAGGCCACATTATCAACAATATTCAGGCACCGGTTTTCAACATACTGAAGGCTTCAACCAGGTATTCAACACCTCCTTATGTGGATACCTCAAACCAACTGTGAAAGACCACACGAATTGATTCTATGTTCTGGTTAACCGCCCTACACTCTATTTCAGCTCAATTCCACGTTAGTTGACATTGATCAATGAAGAAGACGGTTTCTCAGAATACGCAACACATATTACTATTATTGTTTCCTTTAATTCCTAAAGGAACATAGGGCTTCAGCCGTGCGTCTCCATTGCGTTCTGTTCTCTGCTAGAGTCTTCACCTGGCTCCAAGTCTGCCCACATGCTTTCATCTCCTCTTCACATGACCTCCTCCAAGTCACCCACCCTCGCAATGACGACCAACTCGCCGCTTCCCTTTCGGGTTCCACTCGAGCAATGGTTTGTCTAGTGATGTCACTTGATGGTTTGTTTTCTAAAAATATGACCAATCCACCTCTGTTCCTTCCTGTATATTTATTGCACAATCGGTTCCTGTTGGGTTGGTTCGTTCATTGCCAGAGATCCCTCCATGTTTCTGATCTTTTCTGGCTATCCGATCTTGAGTATTGAGCAAAGACAACTGTTAATGAAGGTCTGTAGTTTGTTTGAGATGCTCTTTATGACGCGCTGGCCAAGTCTCTGATCCGTACAGTGAGTAGCACTGATTGACTTCACATTGGAGTTGAAAATCCGGATCTTATTTTTGATGCTGAGTGCTGTTGATCTCCACACAGACTTGAGAGTAATGAAAGCTTGTCTTGCTTTTCCGATTCTTGCTTTCATATCCTCGTCAGTTCCGTGCGCCTGTAGTTGAAACGATGCTTCCCAGGTAGGTAAAAGAGGTTGTTTCTTTCAGGTTCCTTCCATTTATGCTGATTGTTGTCTGTTGTTGTTGTTGCTTTTGGTGGTGTTGCCCAGGAATCTTCATCACCTCTGTCTTCTCTATGTTCACCTGAAGTCCAATCTTCTCTGGATGCTTCTTCTGCCAACTTGTTGCTTTTCGCTTGCATATCTTCCAGTTTGTGGGAAGTCAGACATATATCATCGGCGAAGTCCAGATCCTCTAAGTTGGTGTTTTGTGTGAGTCCATTTTATGCCTGTTTCCTCATTGCCCACCGTTGTTTGTCGCATTATCCAATCTACTGCAATCAGGAAAATCATTCGCGATAGTAGGCAACCAGCTTGTCTTACTCCTGTCCTCACTTCGAAGGATTACCGTCGTGGATTACTTGGCATGCAGCATTGTCGTACAGCTGTTGGATGAGATGTATAATTATAACCTGAATATTTCTCATCATATATTGCACCAAATAACTCAGGAGATGGAATGTAAACATCTATGGTCAAAAACAACTAACCCTTTCGTATATTTTTTGCTTCTGATGACCGTCTCACAGCCGTATAGAATGATAGAGAGCGAATCGGTGCACAGTACACCCATCCTTCGATCGAAACAGTTGGATATCACGTGTGCAACAAAGGTGTTGTAAACTGGCAAATGTCACACGAGCTATCTCTCTATTCCTGCTGAGATTTCGTCCCCGGTCAATCGATTAGGGCTGATGCAACACGCTCAACCGTCCTGCATCATCATCTTACATCTGACAGGGACAAATCGCATGTCAAACATTCAAAGATTGCTGCTCAAGATGTTCAGAAGACTCTGTATATCGTCAATGTCTTTACCTAGACAGGCAATATCCCCTGCATACTCTAAGTCGATATGACTCTTCCCTAAAGCCACTAAAGTCTAATTCGTGTTGTCACTCACTCAATAACTCAAACAAAACTCATGATAGTCAGCAGAAACTCTGTGTGACCAACGTGAAATCGTGATTTGGTTGAAAGATAAGTTTTTGGATCTTACATCACGGCATAGATCATTTTTTATGTAAAATCTTTGACCACCTTATAAACAGCTAACATTTACAGGATTATATTTCAGGCATTTTTCATCAAATGTACCCCCTAATGATGTCAAAGAAATTAAGAAAATCAATTCAAAGAACTTTTAATGCTGGCGAACTACACGTATTATTCTCTACCCGACCGATGGTGCTACCTCGACTGAAAGATGAAGCACCTAGACTATCGACTTCCAATTGTATCTATCAATTCAACTGCGCTTGTGGTGGAGCGAGTTATATTGGCCGTTGCTCTAGGAACTTGATTTATCGTGCCAGCTCAAGAACATCTCTCACTATGGCTAAGTAAAGGTGTGGTGAAAACCATTAATATTTCGATATTGGACCATCTGGTGCGAACCGGCCGGCCACAAAGCCAATGTGGAAGAATCCTTCTCTATAATCTACCGGGTGCCTAATAAACTGCCAAAATCATCGAAGTACCGCATGCTCCAAACAGTAGAGGCTATTGCAATTCGCCTCAAACAACCAGTGCTCTGTGTTCAAAAGAAGCATGTCCAGCTAGCCCCTACTACTACCCTGGCCCTCAGTAGAGACTATAAACTCATGAATTTGTACTATAACCTTTCCTAACTCTTCTGACATTCAGTTTATTTTATGTTGATGCTGTTCAGCTGTAATTTATCAATATTATTGATTCGATGTTATTTAAACAACATTAATGTTGTTCATAACACTAATTCATTCATTCATTATAGTGTAAATATAATTGTAGAACCTGATTATGAATTTATCAAAAAGAGTACTCTTTGTTCAGTGTCCATTCTTTTGAAAATTTTAATGGGCATTTTCAATCAATCACAGAAACATTAGTTTTTTAACTGAAATAGGCATTCCAACTTATAACCACCAATTTGATGACAAATTCACCGGAATACAACTCAAAATAAGACAAGAAAGAAAAATAAAACCTAAATGTTGTCTCATACTTTCATTTGTAACAATTTTGAATGCAGTTCACACGGTGTTAAACGATACTGATCTAAACCATCATTCCATCTGATCCGTTCAAATACTTTCAAGTCACCGCCAACTAACCAATCACCAGATGATTGAATTATTTTTATACTTGGATGATTTGAATGACTAGTTCCAAATATATGACAACATCGTTCTTCCTGTTCAAAAATAAAAACATCAAAAAAAATATATAGGAAAATAGAAAATCACTGTTGTCGATGCATAATCGCATAATTAACCTAGAAAAATTAAGAACATTAAAAATCATAAACTAAACACTAATGTAAGTGTAGAACTCGGGCACTACGGTGTAAAATGTAATTTGCAAGTATTGGTTTTGTAGGGATTTGGTTTGATTGCATGGAGGTCAGCTCATGATGAAACCCTCCATAAAATGTAATTCCATATTAGGTAAGTTTATTTTAAATATCACACACTGGATGACAAGGTTTCGAGCATAAATTATCGCTCATTATCATATCAATTTAGTTACACGGTTTCACAATTTGTCTTATATACATATTTTCGCTCTATTCTGTCTCTCCAACTTCCCTTTGTTGTTTGCTACCACTTTCCGGTATAGGCGTTGCTTCATTTCGATTGCACGTGTGCGGTGTTGAATCGATAAACAAAGCTGCAGTGATTAGCCTCTCTCTCTCTATCTCCCTCCACCTAACTATATTACTTTTTAATATTCTCATCCTGCCCCACCACCTTATTGTGTGATTACATGAGAATGAATGCACTGAAACGGCTGGGTTTTTCTCCAGGGTTGATCTCTGACAAAATCTCAGTACGAATACAGAGGGCTAGTTTCGCATATGCCAAATTAAGCCGTCTCTGGCTTAGTAGACGTGATATCCGACTATCGACCAAAGGGCGTGTGTACTGCTCATCAGTCCACTCCATCCTCCTTTATGGCTGTGAGACCTGGCCATTGAGAGTGGAAGACATGAAAAGATTAGCTGTCTTTGATCATAGGTGTCTGCGTTCTATCTCCCATGTGAAGTGGTATAATTAGGTGAGTAATATTGAGGTTAGGCCATCGGTCCAGTGCTAGGTAAGGAGGGGAAATCAATAGACGAGACTGTGAATTTACATCGACTGAGATGGTTAGGACATGTGTTACGCATGCATGCCTAGTCATCGCCTTCCTCGACGGGCAATGTTAGGTGATATAGGGTCAGGCTGGAAAACAACCAGCAGCGGTCAAACGAAAACATGGTACCAGTCAATGAAATCTACAACAGTTAGTCTAAGCCACGTAGGAAGATGTATACTTCCTGATTGGGGTCTTCGGGACGGTAAAAACCAATGGTTGGGAACAATTGGTGATATGCCTCAAAATCGTTCTCAATGGCTAGCGCAGATGCATCCACTCCTTGTGACTTATGATTTCCAATTAAACTGTTTTGTTCTTCCTTATTACAATTCCTTTGTCTCACACCTCTGTTTACTGTCTATATTATGCATTTCTTCTACTTTCTTCTCTTGCTTTGTGTGCTACATGGAGGGAGTGTGGCGACTTGAACTACCGCACATCGGTGCAAAGTTCTATGTCAAATACAGATAGACAGACTAGGGTATTGACTAAGTATGGTCAGTCATTCTAGCTCTAACTGAATTTTTATGTTCCATTAATCCAGCTGACCCCAATGTACTATATGTAATTGACCTTACAGTCAGTCATGACATGGCATTTAGTAAATTACATTACTTTTCTAAATGGGGTCTATCGAGCGGGTCCTTGAGCGGACTAAGTTTATCTCGAAAAGAGTGTGAGTTGGTTGGTTGGTTGGTTGGCTTAAATGTCTAAAAAAGAGCTCAGCCATTGCACTGTAATCACTTGCATGTAATCAACCAAAACAATAGGGTGCTACAAGATGAGAGTATTAAAAGGTATTGTAGTTAGGTAGAGAGAGGTAGAGGAAGACACGCTAATCACTGAAGTTTTGTTTATCGATTCAACACTGCACACGTACAATCGGAATGACGCAACGCCTATACCGGAGAGTGACAACAAACATCAAGTGACGTTGGAGACTGAGACAGAGAAAATATGAGACAAATTTTGAAACCGTGTGACTAAACTCCATTATGGATAAGATTTTATTTTGATAAATCACACAGTGTTGTACAGGAATGTTAACTGATGACCACGTTTCGAGCATAAACTATTGCTCGGCTGCCGGCTGCCCACACCGTGGAAGTTGATTGATTCTTCGAGTACCTGAAACAGAAAGTGAGTTAGTGTTGCGTGACCACAGAGCCCAGGGGACAACTGCTTGAAGCCAGCCGGTCAAACACAATCTGTATAAAATGATTTCTTAGTTCGGTTCCGTATTAGTAAACTTACCGCCAGTCACGGACCACAGTAGGGTAAGTCGGGATGTACAATTTTTGGGGTCGACCTTTTCTAACCCCATCCCTCCAGAGTGGAGAGACAGCATAGCTGGCTGACATGCTGGTCACCTGAGGGAAACACCTTACTGCTGTCACATCCCTGTTCCCCAACAGTACGACTTTGCCCACAGACCCCCAACATAGTGTAAAAAATTCTTACACTATGCCGGTAACTGCTTTTAGTCTAATCGCCATCCTAACAACCTTCCTGACATGGTAGGACCACCACGTCAAGGTAGCAGCTATCGGTCGGGTTTTTGAAACTCAAACAGAAAACCTTCCATGAAAATGTAACCCATTGGAATTGCGATCAGTGAATCATGAATTCAAATCCTTACCCGTATAAACAGAAATGCAATTCAGCGACAACATAGAGAACCGTTCCGACTTAAAAAATTCAACAATGAGTACTAATCAGAAACCTGGATCAATATAAGTGATTTTATATACACAAAAGTACCATGTTGTATTAGTTAATTCCTATTTTCCTAATCTATTTTTACTTGTCTAATAACAGTACAGAAAAAAAAACACAACAGAAACATACCTTACGATGTGGAAAGAATTCACAATCTTGTAACACTGCTACTACATTATTTTTATATACTAAAGCAATTGATGAACCATTTCCCTGACATTTCTCCTTATCTTCAGTTGATATAGCCAACACAATTGGAATTGAAAAATTTGTAGCAACCTGACCTGGAGTATTCGTCAAAAAAATAAAATTATCACTAAAGGCAGTAGTCATGGCTTCATAAAACGCCGTCTCATTGTTTATACAAGTAAAACTGCACTAGTATATATAAACAGCTATGCGGCTGCGGTTCATTGGTCTAGACGCTAGACGTTTGGGTAGCCAGGCACTTAGTATCCTAATAGAACAGGTGTGTTTCATCGCCGGAGGCGGTTGTTGAATAACACTACACTGTATACAACTACAATCCGCATGAAATCACAGTATAAAAAAATTAAACCAAAAATAGCTTACACCCGAAACCCTAATGACAAGAGAGGAGGAATGCAACACAAGAAAATCTCTATCTCTACGGTAAAGAGGGAAAACTGGGCATGAGGCTAGCGTGATCCCAACCTGTAAAAATGAGACCAGTGCTACAGAAACTTCAAACCTGAAGCCCTACTTTCCATTTGGAACGTAAATGAATAAGATAAAGCAAAAAGGGAACAAAAATCAGGTAGAAATAGATCCTTATTCAAATGTTGGTCTACGGAGATTTCACTGGTTCCAGAATTTCATCATGAATTGACAATGGGGTTAGACGACCATAGGAAAACCTGGTAGTACTGGACAGTTGTTCCGTCAGCCTAGTTCCAGACTCTTCAGCAGTACGCGCCCACCCCAACGGGGTTCAAACCCAGGGCCTTCTGGATACAAGGCGAGCTAACTCGTTGACCACTAACCCACTTGGACCCGATCCAATGGTCGATGAATTCTAACTTCTGCCAATTCACGACATGGTGCGACCACTAGCGAATGTCATTGCCGGCGAGTATTTGTCCTCAGACCCGACCTGCTCAGGATGAAATCCTGAAACCAATAAAATCCCTGCAAACCAACACTTGAGTGCCAATCTAATGCTAACTAGCGACTGACCCTATTCAGGTTACCTGGGTTCTAGTGAGACGTTGTGACCAGTGGGGTACAGCAGGTTGGATGTGAAGACGAATACTCGCTGCCAAGGGCATTGGTTAGTGGTCGAACTACATCACCAGTCGGTAGAAATTAGAATTCATGAACCATTGGGTCGAGTCCCAATGGCTGAGTGACCAACGAGCTCACCTTGTAACCAGAAGATCCTGGCCCGAACCCTGGCGGGTGCATGCTGATGAAGAGTTCAGAACCCGTACTCCAAGGTTTTCCAATAGTCCTTTAACTGTTGTTATTTCATGATGAAATCCTGAAACAAATAGATCCACTTACTATACCAGGAATAACTACGCTATAATGTCACTTCCCAGTGGACAATGAATGAAGTAAAACAAAAAGGTGATCAGATTTATACTGATGAGCACTTTATTTGCTCGATAGCTAAATGTCAATTGCGCGTGTGTAACCATTTGTTATTCATCAACTGCTAAATTTTAAGCTACATTCTACAGTTGTTACTCTTTAACTCGACCCGTACAACTATCAGCCACCAATGAACTAAATCTCAAAAAATACTATACAGCACTACTTCTTCTATAAGCCACTCAAAACTGGATAAATACCCTGCTAATGTCACCTCCAACTGCGTTTATGAATTTACGTGCACTTGCGGGAGCAAGTACATTGGAAGGGCTATTAGGTCAAAATCTAGTGAATCGATATTTCCAGCTTTCAAACTTCGGACAATAAAACCGATAACCAACTAATAATGTCTCCCACTTGACACTGTTAGCTCTTAATTCATCTTGGTTAATGAGATGTACTTTCTAGTGAAGGGAGGAGTACCAAAAAAAAATAAACAGCACTAAGCAAGACACTCTACTACATCAGTAATAATGGAGTTGGGCGCAGAATGTTACGTTAGGAAGATAAGTGTCAATCAATGAAATTGTGGAGTAACATCAACTGAGATGGGTAAGATACGTGTCACGGATGCTGAACCACAACCTTCGTCGTTAAACCATGTTGAATAACATAGGATCAGGTTGGAAAAAGTTAAGGGTGGTTAAACCGAAATCTGGAATTGACCAATGAAATCTTTTGTAGTCGATTTGAGGGAAGGCAGTGTAGAGCTCTTGGTTGGGATCTTCGGGAATCTAAGAACCAATGGCTGGTGATATTGGCTTAAAATTATTCTCAGTAGGGCAGATACATTCGCTCTTTGTAATCTCCGCTAAATCCTCATGTGCATCAATATTACTACTCTTTCTCCAGCACACATCTGCTCATTATAGTATTTTTTGAATTTTCGGTAACGTGAACTATTATTATCTTATTATTATTATTATTATTCCCTTGGGTTTCGAGTGCAGCATAGAGCTTCAAAAAAACATCCCCAGTTTGTTCTATTTTCTGCAGTCCTCTTCAGCTGGCTAGCTCCACGGCTGTCCATAATTTCTCATCTCCTCCATGTCACTCGCACCGACGAAGCACACGTCGCCTCCCCATTGGGATTCCACTCGAGCGATGAACTGGCGATGGCGCGACGTCATTTGACAACCTCCTCAACATATGCCCGACCCATCCATCGTCATTTTCTCCAGCATAATTTGAGCAATCGGCTCTTGTTTGGTTTCTTGCCAGCCAGAGTTTCTTGTTACTAATTCTTTCTAGACGTCTGGTCAGTTGATCTTCAGTATGGAACCTGCAAAGGCAGTTGTTGATAAAACTCTGTAACATGCTATTGGAAATGCTTTACTTGACACACAGTGAAAGTTCGTGACCCGTAGAGAAGAAGTGACTGACTGACTTTATATTTGTTTCGAAAATTCCAATCTTGTTCTATAAGCTTGCTGAATGAACAAGTGCAGAAGATTTCCAAACTGGTTTCAGGTTGATGAAGGCGTATCTTGCCTTTCTGATTCTGGCTGGCTGGCTGGCTGGCTTGGACATCTTCATCCGTGCTATCCGACTGTCTGTGGTTGAAACAGTGCTTCCTAGTCGGATAATTGAAGGAAGTAACCTCTGTTAAATCTCTCTTGTTGAGGGTGATTGGTGACTGCTGTCGTTGTTGCTGTTGGTTGGTTGGTTATTTTCATCACCTACCTCGTCTTCTCTATGTTCACCTGAAGTCTTGTCTTCGCTGCCAATCTCTTCAAACAGTTTGGGCAATGTGAACTGCTGCACTTTCAAGCAAAGTTTTACACTGAAGACTCAATAATCAGTCTAAATTCATCTTCAAAAACTAAATCCACTGATAAAAATGCATTAAACAATCATTTTACTAATTAAACAACAGATATAATAGGCAAGTGAATTTAATTTGCTAAACTAAAAATATTCAGTGCTTTGTAAATAAAGAAATTTAAGATAACAATATTTCACAGTTAGGAAGAGTAAACTTCGCAACTATTACAATTTCTAATCTCAATAATCACGCATACATAATGTATACATGACAATAGATAACAACTAAGTATGTTTGCTGTACACGTATATTAAAATTTGACAAGGAATGGAAATATTTAAGTATGATAACTGTTGACTTGAATGGTTGTGTATCACTGGGAGCGGTTCTCTTTCTTGTTACTACAGTATCTCATGGGGAATTGCCATCCGAATTGATAACAACCAGTGGTGTCCGTCAGGGATGTTCACTTTCCCTATTCCTGTTTAACTTTATCATAGATATGCTAATGGAAGTATCCTTAACTGAACTGAACGATTTAGGAATCGACTTGTTACCAGGGAATAATCTTATAGACTTAGAATACGCAGACGACATAGTCCTGTTAGGGGAGGATGCTGACAAAATGCAGAGTCTTCTGAACACCTTGAGCAGCAATCTTCGTATGTTTGGCATGCGATTCACCCCTGTAAAATGTAAGATGCTGCTACAGGACTGGACCACGTCAACTCCTAGCTTAGTGATAGGGAGTGAAGTGATAGAACATGTTCACCACTTCACCTATTTGGGAAGTTGTATCAGCACCAACGGACTGATCGGCGACGAAATCTCAGCACGGATCCAAAAAGCTCGGGCTGCTTTCGCTAACTTACACCGTCTCTGGCGTAGGCGTGACATCCGCTATCAACCAAGGGACGTGTGTACTGCTCAGCAGTTCGCTTCGTCCTTCTCTATGGCTCTGAAACATGGTCAATACGAGTTGAAGACATGAAAAGGTTGACTGTTTTTGATCATAGATGTCTACGATGTCTTTCTCACGTTAGGTGGTATAATAAGGTAAGTAATGTTGACGTTAGGCGTAGAGTGTTGGGCAAAGAGGGAAATTCAACCGAAGAGGCTATAAAGTTACATAGATTGAGATGGCTAGGTCACGTGCTGCGCATGCCTAATCATCGCCTCCCCCGACGGGCATTACTAGTTGATATAGGTGCAGGTTGGAAAAGAGTAAGTGGTGGCCAAACAAAAACATGGCATCAATCCATGAAATCCTTGACAGTTAAACTGAGTCAGGTAGGGAGATGCAGACTTCCGGGTTGGGGCCCGCCCTCGGGACTCTAAGAATCAATGGCTGGAGACAATAGGTGACATGGCTCAAAATCGTTGTCAATGGCTTACGCAGATGTATTCAGTCTCTGTAATCTTTCATATTCCTTTCTACCGTTACTTATTCTGTTTCACTCTTATACTTGTCAAAACTCTATTGATTCCCTTCACTCATTTTCTTGTCTACCTTTGTGTGCTATTTGAGACGTGGCAACTGGAACTGCTGCACTTTGGTGCCAAGTTCTATGTTGAATTCAAACAGACAGACAGTATCTCATATATCTCTGTTCAATCTGCTGACATTCTATGTCACCCTCTCACTGATATTTTCAATGAATCATTTTCCAATAACACTGTGTCTACTTGTTGGAATGACATTAAAATTGTTCCTGTGCTTAAATCATCAAGTGGATCAAGTGTTAAGTTCAGATCTACTACCATTACTACACCTTTTTTTAAAATAATGGAAAGACTGCTTTTACATAAGCTTGAACCTTCATTGAAGGCTTTTCACGACCCTAATCAATTTGCTTGCAAACAGAGTAGGTGTAATTTAGATACTACTGTCGTTTTATATCATAATATTGTCTCTAGCTCAGATAGAGGTGCCAAATATGTTCGGTGTGCCTTCGTAGAATTACACATCTGCCTTCGACACTGTAACTAGGCCTCTTTTGTTAAACAAGCTTGCTGAGTCACAAGCATTTCCGATAGGAAGCAGTACACTGTATACAAATGGGAAGTCCTCCACTGCTTCCCTAACTTTAGCTGGTGTTCCTCAGGGAGCTGTTCTTTCTCCTTTCCTATTTTCCTTCTTCTTACATTACTTGCCTCATTCAGATGAAGCCAATTTTGTCAAGGGTGTGCCGATGACCTGACTACTTCTATGCCGGCAGTTACTTCTTGGTCAGACTATTCCAAAATGAATCACTTTTTATCAGAAATTAGTGAGTGGTCCTTATCTTAAATGGTTTTAAGATGTATTACTCCAAATTTCAGGTTGTTAACGCCACTTTCAGATGCAAGCGCGAATTCCATGAACTGGTTATTTCGCATGGTTCCACTATCACATAGATGGCACTGAAGTTGAAACGAAATCGAATGTTAAATACCTTGGGACTGTGTATTTCCTCTGATCACCTTTCCTGATCTTTTCACATCATGTTAGTATCCAGAAAGATATGTCGTTTGACGTTCTGCGTAAGGAATTTGACACAACCTGGTATCATTCCGTCTTTACTGTTACCGTTTTTTGTCAATTCTTGTATTCTACCTATCCTTCTTTACTGTTTCCCCACAACTCAATCTTTCCCGGCCTACTTAAGAAAGATTTTGTTACACCTGTAGTGGGCAGTAAAAGCCGTCAGTAGAGCAGGCGAGTAGGGTGTCGCTAAACCAACTCGTTAATACTATTGTAGATAGACATATGGATTCCTGCAAGAAATTAGCAAATATTATCCTTTCAGACTCCAAGCATCCTCTCTCCAGACACAACTCTCTCCTTGCTGCATCTCATCGGGTAGAGCTAGAAGCAACTATAGGAGACTCTATGCTCGGACGATTAAGTACAAGAAAGTTAGATGAAATGCTGTACCACATGCTGAAAATTCTATATTTGTACCAAAAGCGTACTGTTTGAAATAAAGCTACCATTATTATTATTATTAATCTTCTCAGTTCTCAGCTTATTTAAATATATAACTACCAGCGAAGAAGAATTTTGAAGCATTCAACCTGGTACTGCCGAATTTGGGTGAACTGTAGTCTTCCTTTCAAAATGCCCTCATATGATCACACGTTCAAACCTGTAATGTACATAGACTTCAGAATCCGAAAGAATCGATGACGTATGAACCTGTCTTGGTCACTGGAAATCGTGAGAACGTAGCTCCTCTAACTTGGGGATCAGACTTCGAATCAAAGGCTCAGTGGGATGGGGTTGGTGGTCGCTTAAGACAACCACCACCTGCTTCGCCCTTCACTTCCATACAGTATGTCATCCCTCATACAAAACTCTGAGATTTTTGTGTAGCGCATCTCTTGGTGCCCAAAAAAATATATCAAGTCTGGGTCTTAATAATAATTATTATTATAACAATACAATAAAAATAAACTTACCCTCTTTCACTTGTAGCTGGCCAAAATAAAGTACTTGTAAGTATTCTTCTTCACGCATAAAACCTTTCAGTGGAGTTGCCCAACCTTCAGCCAATGTTTGTATCCATTGTAAGTCTAATTCTGTTATGTTGATGTGAGGTATACTACAGCATTCATCTTTAAGCCTTTTAACTTCTTCAGCATTATTTACAAATAATTCTTTAGGCATTGGACCACCGAATGGATTCACTTCAGAATTGTTAGGTATTATTCCCTAATAATAGAGATTTTTAAGAAGAAACAAAACTTATATAAAGCACTTTTATATATGTGTAGAGAGAGAGAGAAAAGAAAAGAACAGAGGTGATGAAGATTCCTGCCCGCCAACAGAAACAGCAACAACCACAACAACACAGCATAAATGGGAGAAATCTGAAAGAAGCAACCTACTTCACTTACCTACCTACCCACATACCTACCTGGGAAGCATCCTTTCAACATCAGGCCAACGGGACTGATGAGGATATCAAAGCAGCGAGGATCGGGAAAGCAAGGCAAGCTCTCATTACTCTCAAGTTTGTGTGGAGATCAACAGCACTTCTCAGCATCAAAAATAAGATCCGGATTTCCAAATCCAATGTGAATTCAGTGCTACTTAATATACGAATCAGAGACTTGACCAGCGCGTCACGAGGGGCTCTTTGAACCAACTACATACTTTCGTCAACAGCTGTCTTCGCTCCATACCACTTAAGATCAGATGGCCGGCCAGAAAAGATCAGCAACATAGATCTCTGGGAGCGAACGAACCAACCAACCAGGAACCAACTGTGCAACAAATATGCAGGGAGAAATGGAGGTAGACTGGCCATACTCTGAGAAAACAAACCATCATCAAGTGATATCACACATCAGGGCGTCGCTCGAGTGGAACCCAAATGAGAAGCGGCGAGTTGGTCGTCAGTATGAGGGTGACATGGAGGAGGAGGTCATACGAAGGGGAGATGAAGGCATGTGGGCAGAAGTGGAGCCAGGTGAGAACGTTGGTGCAAGAGGGAACGCAGTGAAGATGTGCAGCTGAAGCCCTATGTTCCTCTAGGAACTAAAGGAAAAAAATAATATATTTGTAAAATTTCTATACTTCTACGTAAACTTTAACCCTAGCCGGAATCGCGTAATGTATTTGTACAATATGTGCCGAACAATCGGTTGACACGTGCGCACTTAATTCCTATAGGAATATATATAAGAAGTAGTGAGAGAATATACATAGATAGTCAAGTTAAAAGGCTATATTGAAGGTGTAAACAATAACAAGGAAGACTAGTAAACGAAGAAATGAGGAATAAGAGTAAATCAATCTTGTTATCAAAACAAATTTTACTACGGAAGGTTTAATGTCTTCTGAACACTTTGAGCTGCAATCTACGAATGTTTGGCATGCAATTCGCTCCCGCCAAATGTAAGATGATGCTACAGGATTGGACTACATTGACTCCTAGCTTAGAAATAGGTAGTGAAGTGGTGAAGCGGGTTGACCACTTCACTTATTTGGGAAGTTGCATCAGTCAACGCCAGTGGGTTGATTGTTGACGAAATCTCAGAACGGATACAGAAGGCTCGTTTCGCCATCTCTGGCTTAGTAGACGTGATATCCGGCTGGTTACAAATCAAAGGGCGCGTGTACTGCTCAGCAGTCCGCTCTATCCTCCTTTATGGCTGTGAGACGTGGCTATTGAAATTGGAAGACATGAGTAATAAATTGTGCTCAAAACGTCATCAGTGAATATTACTGTGTAACACTGTGAGACTTTATTAAAATAAATTTTACCCACAATGGAAGACATGAAAAAGTTTGATATCTTTCATCACAGGTGTCTACATTCTATCTCCCGAGTGAAGTGGTATATTAAGGTGAGCAATATTGAGATTAGACCATCGGTCAAGTGCTACGTAAAGCGGGGAAATCAACAAACGAAACTGTGACGTTACATCGACTGAGAGATATTGTTAGGACATGTGTTACGCATGCCATAGCAAACTTCCACTACGGGAAATGTTAGCTGACACAGGATTGAACAGGTTGGAAAAGAGCCAGTGGTGGTCAAACCAAACTATGGTCTTCTCAGTCAATGAAATCCACAACAGTTAGTTTAAGCCAGCCACGTTGGAAGGTGTAGACTAGCCTCCTGGTTTAGGTCTTCGCGATGGTAAACACCAATGAAGGTTGAAGACAATTGGTGATATGGATTAAAAATCGCTATCGGTGACTAGCACAGATGCGTCCACTCCTTGTGACTTATAATTTCCAATAAAACGATACTGTTCTTCTATATTACTATTCCTTTTGCCTCATATCTCTGTTTACTGTCCCTGTTTTGCATTTCTTTTTACTTTCTTCTCTTACTTTGTGTGCTACAAGGAGTGTGGTGACTTGAACTGCTGCATATCAGTGCAAAGTAGTTCTACGTTGAAGCCAGTCAGTCAGCCAATATGATAACAAAATTGTTTGTGAACATACAAAGGTGTTCTAAACTTCTTAATCGCCAGGGTCTCCACAAATGACTGACTGACTGACTGACTGACTGACTGACTGACTGACTGACTGACTGACTGACTGACTGACTGACTGACTGACTGGTTTCAACGTAGAACTACTTTATCGTTTTATCGTTTTACAGCTTGATTCCACACAGTACTTTTGGTAGGAGTATGGAATTTTCAGCATGGATATCGGTGGCCCAGATTTTTACAGGCCAACCATAGATATCGGTTGTGCGTCGGCAGGTAATCGAACCCCGGACCATGTACATGGTCGGCGGGAGTCCTAACCACTTTGCAATGATGCGAACCAATTCCAGTTGCCAGACTCCATGTAGTTCACAAAGCAAGAGAAGAGAGTAAAGAAAGATTCAAAAGAGATAATATAGCAAAAATATTCATTCAGACATCTAGAAAAAACCAAAAAATTGAGCAAAGAATATCCTTTTCGATGATTTCCTCTTTTGAATCTACAATCATATATATATATATATATATATTCTAGAGTAGTAGTCACTAACAATGTTGAGATTTTTAAATATCGATTTGGTAAGTAAGATCAATGGAATTATACTTCTTCACGAAAAGTGCATCAATTATAATAAGCATAAAAATATAATAGCAAATAGAATAACAAATAAAATTAAGGAAATTTCTACAACAAATTGATGATCTTCAAAAGCTTGATTGATGGCCAAGGTAAGGACAGTGTCTGAACCAACTTCTTTTGGATACATACACAAGTTAGATTTCTTAATGTGGATCCCTACCAATTTACCTGCTCATGTGGAGTGAGATGTACAGGTGGTTGTTCGACGCATGTTTTATCTAAAGGCGTCAATGAACATTATCCCGTTTGGCTACGAAAAGGTAACAGTGCATCAATAAATATCATTATTTCTTTCCTTTAATTCCTAGAGGAACATAGGGCTTCAGCCGTGCGGCTCCATTGAGTTCGGATCTCTGCTAGTCTTCACCTGGCTCCATGTCTGCCCACACGTTTTCATCTCCTCTTCACATGACCTCCTCCAAGTCACCCTCACACTGACGACCAACTCGCCGCTTCCCTTTCGGTTTCCACTCAAGGGCTTGTCTAGTGATGTCACTTGATGGTTTCCTCAGAGTATGGCCAGTTCACCTTCATTTCTTCCTGCCTTTTTGTTTCACAATCGGTTCCTACTGTGTTGGTTCGCTCATTGCCAGAGATCTCTCCCTGTTGCTGATCTTTTCTGGCCGGCCATCTGATCTTCAGTATTGAGCGAAGACAACTGTTAATGAAGGTCTGTAGTTTGTTTGAGATGCTCTTTATGACGCGCTGGCCAAGTCTCTCTCTGATCCGTATAGTAGCACTGACTGACTTCACATTGCAGTTGAAAATCCCGATCTTATTTTTGATGCTGAGTGCTGTTGACCTCCACACAGACTTGAGAGTAGTGAAAGCTTGTCTTGCTTTTCCGATTCTTGCTTTCATATCCTCGTCAGTTCCGCCTGTAGTTGAAACGATACTTACCACGTAGGTAAAGGAGGTTGTCTCTTTCAGGTTCCTCCCATTTATGCTGATTGTTGTCTGTTGTTGTTGCTGCTGTTGGTGGTGTTGCCAAGAAATCTTCATCACCTCTGTTTTTTCTATGTTCACCTGAAGTCCAATCTTCTCTGGATGCTTCTTCTGCCAACTTGTTGCTTTTCACTTGCATATCTTCCAGTTTGCGGGAAATCAGCCATTTTTAATCAACGAATTCCAGATCCTCCAAGCTCTTTTTTTTGTGTCCATTTTATGCCTGTTTCCTCATTGCCCACTGTTTGTCGCATGATCCAATCTACTGCAATCAAGAAAATCATTGGCGATAGTAGGCAGCCAGCTTGTCTTACTCCTGTCCTCACTTCGAAGGATTCCGTAAGTTTCCCGTTGTGGATTACTTGGCATGCAGCATTGTCGTACAGCTGTTGGATGAGATGTATGATTGTCGGTGGCACCTCATAGTAGCAAAGTAGTTTCCAAAGCACCTCTCGATCGACGCTGTCAAAGGCCTTTTCAAAGTCGATGAAGCTGAGATAGAGAGATGACTGCCATTCCAAGCTTTGTTCAATGATAATCCGTAATGTGGCGATCTGATCAATGCATGACTTGTTTCTCCTGAATCCAGCCTGTTCCAGTCGAAGTTTTTCATCCAGGGCATGTTTCATTCTCTCCAGGATGATGCGGCTTAGTATTTTGCTTGGGATGGACAGGAGCATGATTTCGCACCAGTTCTTGCATTGACTTATGTCTCCTTTCTTTGGTAGTTTGAATAAATATCCTTTCTTCCAATGCTCAGGTACTTTGCTTTCTTTCCACACCTTCTCCAGTAGTGGCGTCATCAAGTCCGCTGTTGTCTCTGGGTCCGTTTTCAATGCTTCTGCTGGGATTCCATCTGGTCCTGCTGCTTTTCCAGCTTTTAGCATTTTGATTGCCTTCAGAACTTCTGATTTCCTCGGGGGGTTGGTGGTCACTGGTAGCGCTGTCTCCGTTGTTGGTATTGTTGGGCGCGTTGTAGGTGGTGGTCGATTTAGGAGTCTTTTGAAGTGTTCAGCCCAGTGTTTCCTTTGCTCCACTTCTTTGGTGAGTGACTTTCCATTGTCATCCTTCACCGACTTGATTTGTGTCAAACGCTTGCCCGATAGGTACCTAGTTGTTTGGTAGAGTGTTGCGAGGTCAGTGGATCAATAAAGAGTGCTATAATTGAACATATATTC